CTATATCCCATGGAACCATACTAAGCAGGTTTCTGAAAAGGCCAACGTCTGCTTTCTTGAAATCCAGGGCAGTGAGTTTGCTGCATGCCCTTCTCACTGTCCTGAGGATCTCAAACTCGACCATCTCATGGTCTCTACAGCCAAGGCTGCCCTGGAGCACCACATTCCCCACCAGCCCCTCCCTGTTGGTGAGCACGAGGCACCTCTCCTTGTCAGCTCCTCTATTTCATAGTTTCCCTTTAAAAAAATAAAAAGCTGTAAGAGTCATCTCCTGGTCTCTGCATTCATTATCTACTAGAGTAGTTAAGCCATTATAGCACACCCATTGATCCATAAGCCTGAAGGCACAAGTCTATTCCATTACAGAGCCCATGACAAGCAAAACCTTCTCTCACAGCTGATACAAGACAACATGCTGGGGAGGGACTCTTCATTAGGGACTGTAGTGGTAGGACAAGGGGTAATGGCTTTAAACTTAAATAGGGGAAATTTAGATTAGATATAAGGAAGAAGTTCTTTACAGTGAGGGTGGCGAGGCACTGGAATAGAGGAAGTTGTGAATGCTCCAACCCTGGCAGTATTCATGGCCAGGGTGGACAGAGCCTTGGGTGATATGGTTTAGCGTGTAGTGTCCCTGCTCATGGCAGGGGGGTTGGAACTAGATCATCTTAAGGTCCTTTCCAACCCTAACTATTCTAGGATTCTATGAACATGGAGTGCCATGCCCTAAGCTTTTCTCCTTTCACAAAATGCACTTGAGTGTTCTCTGGCCTGAAACAATCCTTTTTTTTATGAACGTAACACCACTCTGGTGACTGTTCAGATCCTTCAGCTTAACCACTTAATTCATCCAGTTCCCGTAACTCACAAACCTGACAAATATTCACGCACTGCTAGGTGCTGAGGCTAAAGCTAACTTGTGTATTGCAATCAAAATTCAAGCATGGCAGCCACTTATCCATGTAAAAGGCTACAAACAGTTCAACAGCAAATGAGTATTCTTGCATCCATCCATTTCAAAAACAGGGTCAACTGTCAGCTTCACAGAGAAACCAAAATCTCCACTTCTGTAACAACTGACAGATAAGCTAATGGCAAATGCTATAACAAACAGCTTTCAGGGGCCCATACAGCAACAGCCAAACAGCTCTCTTAGCCACTGCAGAACATAATCCTCATTGCAAGCTTACACAGAACCTGGAATCATTACTTTTTTTGCCAGCACCATCCACTCTCACATCACTGACTTTGAGCTTTACCCACACATGCACAGAAAGACTGTTAAAAGTTTTACATGCATGTAAAGATAACCACATACAGAACACACACCCATAGCAATGTGAACACAGAAGAAGCTTTAGTTCCTCAATGATGCCATACAGTGAGGCAATATGCTCTTAAAAGTGCTTACAACAAATAGCTTGAGGGATAGCATGGTGAGGTGAGAAGGAGAATGTCGTGCTTTACTTACCAGAAACGTATTTCCACAGTGCCCACACACCACTCTAGTTCCATCAGGTTGAACTGGCAAGGCAGGCTGAGCTGGCTGCTCTTCTGGGATCAGCATTACTGGACCAAGAGTAATGATGCGTCTACTGCATTAAGAACATTAGATGTACATGTAATTAAGGTAGCAAAAGAGAAGGACGGTGCGCTTAAGCAATTAGCTCAGTCACTACCAAATATTTTATGCTTTTAAACTATCATCTGCTTTCTGAAACAGATGATGCATCCAGTTTTGGTCTTTCTCCAAAGTGTTTTCCTTTTCAGTTTTCAAAACATTTTCTTTCACTGTAAGATCAGCCATGCAAGCCAGAACCCTGTAGAGATCAAAGACTTGCCATCATATGGCAGAAACACTCCTCAGGAAAATGTAATCTTAATACCCAGGCTGAGGCAAGCTCATAACCTGGAATGTACATACCCACGTGCAACATGTAGAAAGAGTAAGGACTCTTCCATAACCTCGTTCTTCCCAAGTCAGGTACTCTTCCTTCCCACACTACTGATAACCATGTCAATATAAGCAGCAAATCCACATTTGTACAGTAAAAATTCCATTCAACTTGAATGAATTAAAAAAGAAAACCACCCCAGACTGACTAAATGCAATCAATTTACTTTAAAAAACAGTTTGTATTTGCTTTTATGGTCACATTTCTAGTTTAATTATACAACTTGTTTGTCCAAAATGACAATACCCAAATTAACCAACTCAAAGCAGAACAAGTGTCAGACTTCCTAGCATGAAAAAAGGGAAGGGAAAAAAAAAAAAAAAAAAAACCATTATTTAACTTGCACTGCATCTCTCTAAACATTCAACCACAACTGTATTCTGGAAGGCCTTCCTTCAATCCAGAGCCTTCCATTCAGGGCATATTCCCAACTCTATTTAAAAGTACCCCAATTTTGCTCATCTTCTATAGTAAGGTAAATACGTTTACTATCATAGAAAAACTGCCGAGACACATGCTTTTGGGATTATTTTAACAACATTATAGAGTTTCTGATTCTGCTTGGTTACCAACCACATGGTATATTACAACTGAAGCATCCCATGAATATTTTTTCACACATAGAAAATGTTTATAATTTTTGAAGTTCTCCTCAACACTGCATTAGTTATAAATAAACAAACAAACAAATCCGTCCCAAATATCAAACTATGTTTCAAAACCAGAATAGCCAACAGATTGGCAACCAGGGCTCTTGGTGCATTAGAACATGTACCTGCAGACTTAGCCTTCATCTCAATTTCTCCTGATAGAGCTGCACCACTTACAATAAAAAAACTCCTACCTCAGTGGTATCTTTAACACTCAAAGCCCAATGGTAAGAATGTTCACTATGGCAATCAAGCTTGTTTCTTTGATAAAGAATGTGTAAATTAAAGTCAAGAGCTGAGAGGAGACTGAAAACTCAGCATAACAAAGAAGGGAGGACAGGGTTGAAGCCAACCTACTGCTCCCTCTCACATTTCATCCTGAAGTTCCCACTCTAAGGCAGGCAAAGTGTGCAATCCGTGTGCTTACAATAATTAAGTTTGGAAGAAATTATGAATGTTACGTCCCAGAAACAAGTATTTTCTTCTCTGTTTTTTATAATATTTTTCCTTATGAAGTAGCTAAATTGGCAAACACACATCTGAGACTATCACTAAATAAAAAGACAATTATTCCTCTGTAAAGTTAACCTGAAAAAAAAAAATAAAATTCACAATTAACAGTAGCACAACCTGTGTCTGCAGTAATTCAGTAATGTTCTGCAAGTGTCCATGTACAGGGGTACAGGTTTGAACCTCTCAGTTTTAAATATTCAACACAAGGAACAACTTTACAGGAAACTCTCTCAAAACATTTACACTTTTTTATTCTTACCAGTTTGGTCTTGGACAGCCTATTTTCCGAGACGTATCCTTACAGATAAGGAGACAGTTACATTGACATCTAACATACTTCTTCCCTGAAGGAGGGTTTTTGATTGGCTAAACAAAGAAAGAAAAACAACCCACCAAAGAATACACATCAGAAGTCATAGTGATTCACTTTTTTTCCTCGTAACAGTATGAGAAAGCAGAACAAATTCAGTTACATGTTCTGGCTAACAGAGAAATACAGTTCCTCTTACAGAGGAAATCTGAGTCAAGACAAAATTAGAAGCTTTCTCTCTTTCCAGAGAAAGAACTGCAAGTTTCCTCACTAGAACAAACAAGCGAATCTGCAAACTAATGGAAAAACGACTCATATTTTTAGCAATGACTAATTCAAGTCACTGCTAAAACTTCAGTTTAGTAATTTTTTTTTTTAAATGTGAGCTTAAGTAGTGGTATATTTAAAAAAAAGTAAAAAATACAGTTAAAACATCAAACCAGCCTCCTTGCCTCGACAATACCTTCATTCAACAGTGAAAGAATCAGTCTGGTTCCCAGTCTCCAAGAGAATATGTAGACATCACTGAACTGTAATCTTAATTTAAACTGTACTGAAATTATCTTTCTCCAACCTGAGAGTCAAGTTTCCACATCCCTTTCATGCAGGAAACCAAAAGCTGTAAGATCTTTGGCTTGAAACATTATATATTGGCAGGCAAAGTGCATATTAATGCCAGGTTCTCTACTCTCTCTTAGATAGAAAGAAAGGGAGAAACAAAAAAAAAAAGAAAGAAGAAAGTTCTGCAATTTTAAGGCTTCCCATTTCCAGGACATATTTTGAAGCTCTTTTCATAAAATAAATCCAGTCCACTGTTTTTCATGCAAATGCCCCCAGCAGTTCTGGAGTGCTGCAACAGCAGATCCCAAAACTAAAACTGGCAGGAAGGTGGTGGTGGAAATTATATATATGTGTGTGTGTGTGTAGATATATATATATATACACACATATATAAAGAGAAGCAGAAGGACAAATATTGATGACTTGAAATAAGACAAGGGGAAGAAGAGAGAAGAGCAAAAAGGTTTGTGATCACCGGAGTAGAACCTACAATTTATGCATTTCAAGACTGTTGTGTTGTGGTTTGTTAGCAAGCTAACAAATTGACTGAATAGTATTGCAGGAGGAAAGCATGCATCCAGGGAGAGGTATGGGTTAGTTACTTTGTTTCTTCCACTGTTAAAATAATTCAGTTCTTTTCATTCTGCCAAAACCAGTTTCACCCTTCTTTATAGAAGAGCAATTACTTAAATAACATGTTTGCTTTTTGTCCTCAGAAGGAAACATCCTGTGCAGCCAGCTCAAAAGCATGAAGATTTATTCTAACTGCTTTTGACCATCCTCGGGTCAGCAGCTCTGGAATCTGCACACGAGCTACACCGGCAGTCAGCTGTGCTGACAGGTCCTCTGCAGGGATGGCAGGACCTCGTTCTTTGTAGGTGAGGACATGAATTCTACCAGCGACATACTCAACCTCCCCCCACTTTCCTCCACAAAAAGAAAACATTAAAAATCCATTTTACCGTAGCTTCATTGCAAACTGTGCACTTAACAACGTGTTGGTGTAGCTTGCCATCCAAATTGATTAGCGACTGGCACACACGGCAATTTATTACAGGAACACCGCTGGCATCTGGACTTGCAATGGCAGTATATGGAGGAGGAAGCTCTGCTGCAAGAGATCAGGAAATCTCAGTTGAAAAAAACAGAGGATCCTAAAACAACGTCAGCAAAGATACTATCTAACAGTCATAGCTTCAAAAAAAGAAAAAGATACTAAAAAAAATTAAAATTTACATTAATGGTTTGTATTAACATAAGACAAACCTGAGACTGCTTTCCTCTCCCCCACAACTGTACCCAAACATCAACTGTAGTTGTACATAAAGCATACTAGCAACACAATGTAAGTCACCCCAGAAAAACAGACCAGTCAAAAGGCTCCTCTATGCAACTTTGTTTCCAAACCAACTTTTTCAGTGTTCAGAAAAGGGGGTGAAAAACCCTGAACAAACCTCAAATCCACCACAGATTAGTAGCAACAAAAGACTGGCTTCTGATGAAAAAAAGCCCAGAAGATAAAACAAGACATAGATAGGTAGAAAAGCCATAACCAGCATTTAGAAACATCTGGAGAGACTGAAACATAAACAAGTGTTTACCACATAGTAACAACTACTACAGGTAAAGATACAGAACCACAGAATGGCTGAGGCTGGAGGGGACCACCAGAGGTCACCTAGTCCAACCTCTGCTCAAGCAGGGTCACCAAGAGCACACTGCTCAGGATTGTGTCCAGGTGGCTCTTGAGTATCCACATGGAAGGATACTCCACCACCTCTCTGGGCAACCTATTTCAACGCTCAGTCACCCTGACAGTAAAGAAGTTCTTCTTCATGTTCAGATGGAACTTCCTGTGGTTTATTTATGCCTCTTGCCTCCTGTCCAGTTGCCCAGTACCATCAATAAGAGTGTGACCCCGTCCTCTTGATACCCTTCCTTCAGATACTTCTACACATTGATCAGATTCTGCAGAGCCTACTCTTCCCTAGGCCGAACAGGACCAGCTACCTCAGCCTTTCCTCACAGGAAAGAGGCTCTAGACCCTTGACCATTTTAGTAGCCCTTTAGGTGGATTAACTCCAGGAGCTTCATGTCTCTCCTGTACTGGGGGGCCCAGAACTGGACACAGTGCTCTAGGTGAGGAATATAGAAAAGTCCTGTTAAGTAAACAGGACTTGAATTGGAAATGCCATGAAGTGCTTCTTTTTTGAGTGCAACAACAGCAAATTTATGCCACCTTGAAGAAAAACTAAAAAAAAAATAAAAAAAAAAAAAAAAGGAAAACCACCACAAAACAAACAAACAAACAAACAAAACCAAACCCATATACTACCTGAGCCTTCAGAACTTCTGCTTTTAAGAGTTCCAGATATTTTTGTTGTCCAAGAGCCAAATCACAGATCCACAAGGAGGTTTTCAGTCACTTAGGACAGGCTAACACAAGAGAAAACACAGTGTCTCAGGCCCCTGTGGAAGGGCAGATTTCAGCTTTGCCAGTCCTAAGCCCACCAGAAACAGGGAAGGCAGTGCTCAAGATCCTTCTCGGTTTAAGAATCCATGGAATGAAAACAATTCAATACAACAACCTCTCACAAGCTTACCACCACAATTATTTGGCATGTAATAGCACTGGCTTTTATTTCATCAAGTAGTTCAGGGCTGTTCAGGTAAGCAAACAGGGAATGGACATACTTACTAGTTCATAGTTAATTTTTTTTTTATACTAATAGTTTGAAATACTCTGCAGCCTTGGACTTCGATAAATTATTTCATGTTATATCTAAGCAGCCAATAAAATCCTCAAGCAATGAGAGATCAGCCTACTTTCAGTTTACAAACACACTGAACAGAGCAGTATCTGCTGTAGGGTAGTGAGAGAAGAAATCACAGGCTGCTATCAAAGGTGACAAACCCAAAGGTGTCACCAAGTATTAAATTTAAGCTTATAAGAAAGCACTCATCACTCCTTCACTCTGTTTTAAAGTGAATGTCATAAGCTGGAGGGATATAAGAAAAAAATCATTACAAACCTCTGATGTTTTTCATCATCACTGCTGTTCAGTGCTGCTGTTTGCTACTGGGCCTACAAACCATCCAAACCTGTACTTGAATTTAATTCACAGAGGCAGCGGAAGGTAGGTGGGCACCTTCAGGGTCTGAGAATCACATCCAACATACTTGAATTATTTCAGATGAGTAACAAAACTAACTTACATGCAGCAATGCAGTTCTTAAGTCATTGTGCAAACTGATGCTGTTACTTGAGCAAGCAAACTTCACACCTTCAGCTTTGATACAGCAGTTGCAGAAACCAACATCCTTCAGAAATATCTGGCAACTTAAAAATGTTGTTCTGATTTGTTCTGTTTCTGAGGAATTACATTCTAAAAAAATAATTTGACTGAATGATGTGTTAAAAGTAACAAATATTTTGCAGTACTGTGATGCCCTAACTTCAGTACAACACACACAGAAGACAAAACCCCAGCCTGCACACACTTTGGCAGCTGGAAACAATCTCAAGCCTACTAGATCACTGCAGAAACCAGGTTTGAGATTTGGATGATGGGAACAGCAGTGTTTTAGCTGTGAGTGGCAAAGCCAAGGCTGCTGCAAGGGGGTTTAGGCTGTAAGCAGGCTGCCTAACTCTCCTGCAATGAGCTGCTGACACACTTTCTGGCTAGAAGAAAAGGTAGCCATAAAACAAAAAGGCACATCCAGTAGACCAAATACCAAACTCTCTGTCAAGACACCCCTACAGTTCAGTCCCAGCTTTGAGATTGCTCTTCTGCAAAGCAACAATAATGATAAAGAACTTTGTTGCTTCATCATCTCCATTTAAAGCACAACTTCTCAACTCTATCAACTGGGCACAGGGCAGCTGTACAAAGGAAAGGCAAACAGTACCTTTTGAAGGGTACTAGGAAGTAAAAAGTCACACACATCCCCCAGCCTTTCATCCTTCCAGAATGCTGAAGTAGTTGAATAATTGGCAACCATACCCTTCTAGACATTTACAATATTCTATGACCTGCTCATAAGTATCAACTCTTAGGATTTTGGAAGTTGGTTAAATGAGGTACGTGAGCACCTGCAGACACTGCCAGCCACTTCTCTAGCCTCATTCTGGAGCTGCTTGGCTTCCAGGTAAGCAGCCTCACTGTTCCTGTCCTGCTGGCTCAGCAAATTTTAGATAGCAAGCGAATAATGGCTGCTTTTCAGAGCGGTGCTGCAGCAAATAACATTTGCTATGGAGCAGAAAGCCGGAGGTATCTTGGCACTGCAACCTTCGTGCTTAAAGAAAAAGTGCATTTGAAAGAGCTCCAAAAAAAAAAAAAAAAAAAAAACCAAACCAGCAAAAGCCACCAAAATTAAATATAAGGAACAGTATATGGGTGGGGAAGGGGGCAGAAGTGATAAGGAAAAATAAAGGCATCATCTCAAGAGTCTGATCATTACTGCTTAATAAAAAGGTTTCAAAGCACATTCACATAATTTGGTATGATTTTTTTGTTTGTTTTTGACAGCTTGAATTTCAGGCTAAAACCAGTTCATAAAGGTTCATGACGTTGGATGTGACTATATGGTTGGCAAGTCTCATGTACACACCAGAGGTTTGGGGATACATTTAATGAGGTATCGAATACCCTGCTGCTGACATACCAGTTTACAGATTACCAGTTTTTCTTTAAAAAAAATTAAAAATCCAACAGTAATTAGTTCAGCAAGATTAGCAGAATGCCCTAGCATGCAGCACATTGACTCTAGCCTACAATTCCCTCTTCACTCCCACAGGACAGAGATACAGTGGAAAATACCACATATTCAACCTTAGAAATTCCTTGTGGTGCTTGTGCACTTTCCCCCCTTGGTATCTGAAGGGTGGAAACCACAAGGAACCACCTGCATCTTACCTGGGTCAAACAGAAATCAGTTTGTTTTGGGAGTTGTTTTGCTCATTTCATTTGTTCAAAAACATAAAATAAAATTACTTTATCCTGTCCTGGGAGGGCATGGGTGAGAGAAAAAGAGTTAATGATCTATGTCACAGACAGGTAGTTAAGGACTGAGAAAGCCTGAAAAAAAAAAGCCTAAAAAGGGGGAAGCACTGAATAACTAAACTACCCTAGTACAGGAAGCAGAGCTACTGGTCCCACCAATTGCCTATGTGAAATGTGTCTCAAATAGTGTGCCCTGTGTTCACATTGAACTGATTTTTCTTGCTTGCATCCACTGTTATAAACAAACACTGAGCCATTACGAGGATTCAACCACCTACCAGCTTACTCTGAACAGGGTCAGCTGGGTCTCAACTGCAGCACAGGGAAAAGGCAGCTACTTTCAAACCATGGCCTCTCTAATGTAAAGCTCAGGGTGACGTATTGGGCACAGTAGATAATTACAGGGATAAATCTATTAATCTACTTCAGGTGGTAGTTTGGAGGGTGATCAGCTTCTTCCTCCTTCCTCTGCAGCTCCACACCAGCCAGATGTCAAGCAAGGAAGCTCTGCAGAAAGGGGTTTGGAAGCAAACCCCATCTCTCCACAAGAGTGCTTCTTCCCTCTATGCCTAGACTTGTACTAGCGAGAGAGATAAAGACTGCCTGTTAGCTAAAAAGGTGGTTTAGCTTGTGTAGATCCTTTCACTAAGGATTACTGACAGAGCAAAGAAACTAGAGCTGCTGAGTAGATATCACAGCTCTGCAAGATTTTGTTCTCTGGTATCTTCTCGTAAGCTTTGTAGAGCAGGTTTGAAGTGCTACCCAGTATGCTTGCTTGTGGACTGATCCAACAAGAGGTCCTCAACTTGTGGAGAGATGTCTGACCTTTAAGCAAGCTCTATGGTTCCTACTCACTTTTGGGAACAAGCCACTTATCTCAGTTGCCACACCCCACCCTGGGGCCACAGGGGAGCTACAGGCATGCACTGAAGGTGCAGCAGGACCCAGCTACCAACTAAAATGAGCATTTGGCATCCTCCTTGTTTCCAGAATGTGAGATTTACTCTGGGTTCAAACAAGGGTCCCTGGTCTAATGCATTTTCATTACTTTTTAAGTCTGTAAAGACCTTTTTAAAAACATTGAAAAGCATGCAAAAGTATTAGTTACA